TCAGTTTGGAGATAGAATTGTTGCATAATTCCAAATAAATAGATTATGATCCACAAATAAATGTAAAGAGATTAACAAAAATTAAACATATTGACAAATAAATAGAATTAGATACACAAATAAATCTTAAAATTTCACAAACATGAATTAAATTCACAAATAAATAAAATCAATTCACCAATATGTATTTATGTCACAACCACAACTTTGCCTGGCATTCATTTGTGAATCGCATCCTGTGCATTTGTAGATCGCTGTGCGCATTTGTGGATTTTGAAACATTTCTAGTGAGTCCACGCATTTGTGGATTGTCAGTGTCTTGACGCTAGAAATTTTCAAAATCCACAAATGCGTGCAGAGATCCACAAATGAACAGGACGCGATTCACAAATGAATGCCAGGCTAAATTGTGTTTGTGACATAAAAATATATTTATGAATATGATTTTTATTTGCAAATCTCATTTTATTTATTTGTGAATTTAATTAATGTTTGTGAAACTCTAAGATTTATTTGTGGATCTCATTCTATTTATTTGTCAATATGTGAATTTTTTTATCTCTTTACATTTATTTGTGGATCATAATCAATTTTTTTGGAATTATGCAACAATTCTATCTCCATATTAAACGCAGCGTCTAAGTGGACACTGACACACAGAGACAGAGAGTAGATGAGGACGCAGCCCTGCTGTCAGTCCAAACACTCACACTGCAAAGAGTCAATGAGAGAATGAAGCTGCTGATCTGTGCACGCCTTCTGACCAAATATATCTGTGAGCTGACATTCACGGACAACATCAGGCAGATGTGAATAGAAGCTAAGCAGTTGAACGTGCGGGACGAGCCGTCGCTCACCTCGCAGGTCCTGCCCGGAGCGACCCGCGCCCGTGTTCTGTCGGGACATCCGCAGGGAGGTGCGCAGGGGGGCGTGTCTCTGCTCATCCAGATACGCCAGGTCCTCCAGATGTGCCGAACTGGTGGCTGATGGGACAGAAAACACGTGATGAGAGACATAAAAACACCAGGATGAAGATGAGCTCATCTGATCAGACCTAACATTCTCAATAGTATTGCTTATGCTGTTTAACAATCACTCAGAATACCCTAGCAACTGCATAGCAACACACTAGCAACCACTCAGAATGCCTTAGCAACTGCGTAGCAACACACAAGCAACCACTCAGAATGCCATAGCAACACACTAGCAACCAGTCAGAATGCCCTAGCAACTGCGTAGCAACACACTAGCAACCACTTAGATTGCCCTAGCAACTGCGTAGCAAAACACCATCAATCAATCAGAGTGCCCTAGCAACTGTGCTGCACCACACCATCCACCACTCAGAATGCCCTAGCAACTGCGTAGCAACACACTAGCAACCACTTAGATTGCCCTAGCAACTGCGTAGCAAAACACTAGCAACTGCTCAGAATTCCCTAGCAACTGTGTAGCAACACACCAGCAACCACTCAGAGAGCCCTAGCAACTGCATAGCAACCACTCAGAACACTATAGCAAATGCACAGATATGTCCTGACACCTGGCAGCCACACAAAACACCATAGCAACTGCATAGCAACCACCCAGAACACTAAAGTGAATGCATAGATACGCCTTGTCCCGTGGCAACCACATGAAAAAACATAGCAACTGCATAGCAACCACTCAGAATGATATAGCAAATGCATAGATATGCCTTACTATCAGGCAAACACACAAAACACTATAGCAAAGCACACACAACCAATCAGAATACCCTATCATCCTGCAAAGCAACTGCCCAGTATCTGTAACATAGAGTTTGAGAGAGAGAGAGAGAGAGAGAGAGAGAGAGAGAGAGAGAGAGAGAGAGAGAGAGAGAGAGAGAGAGAGAGAGAGAGAGAGAGAGAGAGAGAGAGAGAGAGAGAGAGAGAGAGAGAGAGAGAGAGAGAGAGAGAGAGAGAGAGTTTAAGAAAGGAACCCTTAGGATGTGAATGCATGTTCATTCCATAACGATGCTTACAAACAGTTTGTCACATGAAATGCATATCGTAATCTGATAAAAGCCCAGATTTACAGTATAAAGTGACAGGCTGGAGATGATCACAGTCGCCCACAACAGCCTGATTAAATCCGGATCGGGAAGACAGAAGGTCTGGAGCTGCAAATGTGAACACTACACTTATCCGTCAGTCCAGGACAGCCACTTTGGTGCAAAATCTCTCCAAGCCTCTAAACTTTGTGAAGGAACGTCTCCATTTGGGTCCTAGCATGAGCGTGTTGTGAAACCAAAAATCTCTCTTTGTCATACTTGTGTCAGTCTAGTTCTGCTCTGACTGGACTGAATGTGTGAATGTGCATGAGGACTGGAAATGACTGGGAACCATGGGAAGTGAGCTGGGCAGGAATGCTTCTGTATATGGGATGAGCACAGCAGCTGGGAATTTTGGGGAGGGGTTGGATTGGAGTCAGAGTGGCTGACAGAAAGATCCTGCCAGCCAGCCAGTCAGGATGGGATTTGTGCGAATTGGAGCTGGGTGGTTCTCGCCAATGTTACTAACAATTAGGATGCTTTCACACCTGGCCCGTTGTTTCGGAACCTGCCGCATTTCCCCCCTTAGCTCGGTTCATTTGGGCATATGTGAACACGGCAATCGCGCCCGGATCTGCGGCAAAACAATCGGTCCGAGATCGCCTGAACGAGGTGGTCTCGGCTCGATTGAAAACGAACTCTGGAGCGGTTCGGTTGTAGTGAGAAAGCAATGAACCTGTGAATGTCTGTGGGTGAGCACGTCTTCGCCATTCAAAATAAAAACGCGCACTTTTTCATTTTATAATGCTGTCTTATTGCTCTTCTTCCTAGTATGTACATTTTTAAAATGTTTTCCCGATGAATCCTGGACTCCTGCTCAAAATGAATTAATATAAGGACAGCTACAAAAAAAAACAACAAAAAAAAAAACAATAATCAGAATCAGAATCAGAAAGAGCTTTTAAAGCAATCGATCTACAGGTGTGAAAGCACCCTTAGTGAAACCATTTAACAAGGTAATTATTTGGTCTTAAAAAAAAGTAAATAAAATAAATAAATAAACAAATACATTTTTCACAATAAATAATGTTTCTATGAAAGCCTATTTCTGCCACAAAAAATAAAAGCAAAAAAGGTAATTACGACTTTTTATCTCACAATTCAGATTTTTTTTCTTCTTACAATTCAGAGAAAAAAGTCAGAATTGGTAAATATAAACTCAGAATCCTATTTTTGCTTTGCTTTGCATTTTGGTTTACAACGTTTTGGTTTACATCTCAATTCTGACTTTGTTTTTCTCTGAATTTTGTGTTTACATCTCGCAATTCTGTTTTTTGTTTCACCATGGAATAATAAATAAATAAGGTAAATCATTCTAAGTTTATATCTAGTTACAAACTCGCAATTGCGAGTTAACATCTTGCCGTTCTGAGTTCATATCTGAGAAAATGCTTTGAAAATATTGAGCAAATTCTGAGTTCTGAGAAAATGCTTTTTTTTTTGCATTAACTAACAATGTGTAATACGTTTGTTACAGTATTTATTATTTTTTGTTAATATTAGCTAATAAAAATACAACTGTTCATTTTTAGTCCATGTCAGCTAAGGTCCATTAACTGACATTAATAGATACATTCAAGGAATTGATTGTAAAATTTAAATAAAATAAAAAATTATAAAATTAAAAACACTGTTAAAGTACCAAATATGGTGGAGTGTTAACATGAAAACCAGTGGCGTTTGGCGTTACTGATATCCAGTGTGTGGAGTATCCAACCATAAGTGGAGTACAAAATGATCAAGTCATGTGGACCACTTTCATGGTGCTTTTAAAGTACAAAATTCTTATATGATTAATATATAAATATGATATCATTAGCAGTATTATTGTTGTCATTATTAATCACATTTTCATTGTATAATGATGAAATAATCATAGTCACTACTGTAAACCCATCTGAGAGCACAACTGTAGTGACTTTTGTAGTTTTTTGAGAGACAGTTTGTGTTATTTTCAGTTCGATTGCTTTAGACAGGAACGATATATGCCACAGAGTTCAAGGATTCTTCTCAGAATGACTTTGTGTGAATGGATGTCTCATTGTAAGTGCATCAGATGAAATAGAAAGGGTACTCTGCATAAATAAAAAAGTAATCACGTTGAAATTGATTTTGGGGTGTGCTTGTGTGTGCTATCATGTGTGCTTGTGTGTATATGACAAGACATCCTTGTCCTGAGATAAAATTGAGTTTGAGTGTGTGAAAACGAGTGTCACAGGTGCATCTTATACCAGGAAACCGCAGGTGGACGAATCTGAGGTTCTGCTTGTAATGAGACTGGAAAACAAGCAATTACAGCAGCTTTCGAATAGAATTAAAGATATTCTGTTCTCACGAGGACCTTCCAATGCATTAAAATTGAGTTCTGAAAATTGAGTCAGGCTGAGCTGCCCTTATTGGACCAGTTAGAGTCTTGTTACGGAAATACAAATGTAACAGAAATGATTCCAACCAAGCAACACAGCCTGACTTCGTTTAGCCCGAGTTAAAAGGGTAATTCAAACAAAAATGAAGGTTCTGTCACCACTTAATCACCTTCATGTTATTCCCGACCTGTGTGACTTTCTTTCTTCCATGGAACACAAAAGAAAACGTCTCTTATCTAACGTCTGCTCATCTCTATAGACCTCATGCGTCAGAGAAACAAGCGCACAGCCATCTTTCGAATTTTGTCTTTGAACTTCATTTTTTGCGATGACTCTATAACTGTTGAAGAGTAATTAAACGGTGAAGTGGATTTACTTAATGTAGCGTTAACAAAAGTTATCATGTGAATCTTCTGAAAAGGGGCAGGGCTACATAAGGTACATGGGAACATGGGCAGTCCATAAATATAGTCAAATAAAATATCATGATATAGATGATAGATAAATAAACAAACAAACTAACAACACATTATGCCTTGGCAACTTACAGAAATAAGTTTAATTTGAAGTACATTTTTTATTTGAAAGTAAACATAAATAGTAATATTTAAAAAGAACAAAAACTAAGAAAAAAGACAAATGCACAAAACAAAATAACTAAAAACTAAACTAAAATTGGCATGAAAACTGAAAATAATTAATTTATATTCTATATAATGATATGTTATTTAAAATATTTATTAAAAGCAAAAAAATAATTTTATTAGAAAAATTATAATAGTGAATAATAGTGAATAAATAGTGCTAAAATAACAAAACACTAATCAAAAAAGTAGTCAATGCAAATCATATGCTATTATGAAAGTCTTCTGAAGCTGCTTTTGTTTGATTACAAAAACAGTCAAATCAGTAATACTGTGAAATATTATTGCAATATAATATAATTGTTATCTATCTTAATATATGTTAAAATGTAATTTATTTCTGTGATCAAAGCTGAATTTTCAGCATCATTACTCCAGTCTTCAGTGTCACGTGATCTTCAGAAATCATTCTAATATGCTGATTTGCTGCTCAAGAAACATTTCTGATTATTATCAATGTTGAAAACAGTCGTGCTGCTTCCTATTTTTGTGGATTTTTTTCAGGATTCTTTGATGAACAGAAAGAACAGCATTTATTTGGAAAAACTTTTTTTGTTAACATTTCAAATGTACTGTCACTTTTGATCACTTTAATGCATACTTGCTGAATAAAAGTATTCATTCCTGTAAAAATCAGACAGTTAGCTCTCACATGACTTTCAGATGATTTGGAATAAAGTGCAAATAAAGTCATTTTTGAGCTCAACAGCCCCAGTCCCCATTCTCTGTCACCAGCCTGGACATTCTGCTAAACATCTTCTTTTGTGTTTCACAGGCGACAGGGTTTGTAGTGATATGAGGGAGAGTAAACGATGCCAGTATTTTCATTTTTACCTGAAGTATCCCTTTAAGCTCAGGTTTTATTGTATTACATCACTCCTCCATCCCTATTCTTCCTT